TCCCTACAGTAAAAACAGGCATGCCTAGGACAGAGTAATGTATTCTATGTGAGGACAGTTAGTCCCTTCTCACAAATTACAGAGCAGACTAATACAGCTTTCTCAGGCTAACGTGTCTTATTTTTCAAAAGCCAGAATTAGCAGGGAATAAGGACACCACTAATATTCAACTTAAGGTCCTACTGGCACAGATGAGTATTCTTCTACAGGTAACCTCTGTAGAAGAATCTATGTACCAAGAATGTATCTCCAGTCAAGAGAAACACCAGCTCTTTCTGGCACTGAACTGTTGTAACACAAGTGATGAGTAGTGGATTGAAAGAAGGAAAAAAGAAAAATATGCTATTGTTTTACAATCAGTTCTTTAAAGTTGAGTTTAGAAGTGAGGGGTTTATTTTCTTTTTTTTTTTGAAGAGCTGCATTGGCTACTTTTGCTCCTCTCTGAATATTTAATTAGTTCCATTCCCTGTATCAGGTTTTAATTTACCTGCGGTGACCGGTAATTCTGGTCAGTCCTCCACAATCTACAAGAGCACATACACCGATATGTAGGTCATCAGGGTTATCAGTTTGCTATTTCAGTATCTACTCAGACAGCTTTTAATCAAACACTGAGTCACAGCAGAGCTGTAAACCCAAGGATTCCCCTCACTACCTTCTACACATTGTTCATGCCTATAGATAAACTTCACTATGTATTTCAGATTAATAACTCTACTAATTCTGGGAAAGGGAAAACATGCTGAGACAAGATCATGATTTACTTAGTTCTAGTGACTTCAGAGGCCTCTAAAGACTGCTCCCTTAGCAAAAACAAAACAAAACAAACCCCCCAAAAAACCCAGAGTAAACAACCAACTAAAAAAAAAGCAGAAAAAAAATAAAACCTGACCCTAAAAGCCTCACCATGAAACAACAACTAAAAAGGCAGGTATCCTTTCCAAACTTGTGTTGTTTCAAGACAATCATTATTATTCTTAATCAAGACCAGCCAAGAGTTTCCCCTGATTAGCTGGTGCTCAGGAGAATACTTGCATTTTCGTATAAACTCACCAGTACATCTAGAAATCTTAACAACTCATCATACCCACAACAGGCTAAAAAAGTTACTTGTTCCCAAAGAAGCTACTGCATATACTGCATCAGCCCTAAATACCATTTTGTAGAAATCTGGATCTGAAAAACTGAGGTACCTCTACCAGACTACACTCCAGAGTGGGTTTACTGGATAGCTTGTACAGTACCTTCCAGTGACAGGAGCTGGCTGGTGCCCTGTCAGGTCTCTGCTAAGCACCAACAACAGGACCTCTGAGTAATTTAAAGATATTACTAGTCAGGATGAACTGACCCAGCAGATCTTGCTCTACATGTGCACCTAGCTAGGAAATGCAGCTGATCTCTGCATTAACACTTCTTAAGTCCAAAACAGACACTAAGGAATTGTGACTGGTGTGAGTGTGCTTGGCCCTGGTCCTGAAGAGATCCTGTTCAGAGGCTGCACTGACAGAGAGCATCAAGGCTGGTCAAGCAGACTAACAAAGATAAGCAGCAGGGTCTGCACGAAGCTAGGAAGAAAAACTTAAGTTAGAACATGGGGCACAGGAAAGATAGGCTGACACTGATAAAGGAAGAACAGCATAAGGTGGGGACTGCACAGCTGAAATTAACACAGTTCATTTTTATTCTGCTGTTTTGGGCATGTAGTGGAAAAGAGCAGTATCCAGATTACAGAACGCTTTACATTGGGGCTAATATAGTTTTCTCATCTTTTGGCTCTCTAACAGAGGACAACATAATAGTTCTCCTCCTCCACATTTTTCTTTTCCTCTCAGGCTTCCCTCATACCAGATGCTTGAATTACTGCAATCCTTGAAAACGCTTTCCCTCTCTATCTTCCACCTAATTTTTCTTCTTCATCGTTAGCTATTTTTCTTCTGAATTAACTACTCCAATAAAGGCCTTAATAATTATTTAAGCACAACACCTGCCGAAAAGCCCTGAACAATCAGAACAAGTTTAAATTCGTTTTTGAAGTAAGTTACAATATCAAAGTACTCATGTACCTACCAGAAACAATATTACTGCTGATAATCTTCCCTCCCAGTGTAGCCAGCGATTTTGGTACTACTGTAATGATGCTACCACTTGTTGTTTTCACGTAAGTAGCTGCCCCTGGAGTTCCAGTCATCCGAGCCCCTATTGAGGGACTAACTGCTGGCCGCGTGTATGTTGCTTGAGTTCCTGTTTTAAAGAGAGAACAAGAAAGTTAGCTGTTAGAACATGATCCTTTACTAGTATTAGTGAAAAAATAAGTTGGTTTAGGGAAAAAAAAAAGCATTTAATTTTATTCAAAGAGATGCTATGCTGCAATTTATTACCACCCTTTACAGTTCCTCCTAGTACTTTTTAAACCCGCAGAGCAATATTTAGGTACATACCAACTTTAAATTAACGTAAGAGTTTTCTGAACTACATTACCAAATGTTTCACGATTTTAATCCATGTCTTTGTGCATAAGATTTTATTTTCAATAGGTGTTTCTGTTCTGCCTGTATGTTTGCCACTTGCTCCCTGAGATGCCCAAGAGTTAGGCACCTGACAACACTACTAGAACCGATCCCTTCCTCTCTTGAAAGACACCTATACTCTTACTTCGCCCATATGACAAATTTTTTATAAAGATCACCACCAATGACTGGTCTAAATATCACTCTAAGAGAAAAATACACCTCACAATGATAATGCAATTTTATGGATTTAACATTCAGCAGTACAAAAGAAACCTCTCGACATGGTATAAATGCTGTTTTTTCCTATCTACTCCTTTACAGAATGGAAATGGAACCAAGCCCATAAAAGAAAATTGCTCAAAATAATAATAATAGGAGTCAACAGCTACATGAACATTCTGCTTGTACTGCTTCAGATAGTGTACTACAGACCTTAATTGCTAAAAATAAAGGAAAAATAGCTTGTTAGAAAAAGAAAGCCATGTGTTCAGATCCAAGAGAGCACAATACAGGTTTTACCAATTAAATCAACTCTAAAACTGCTACATTCTTTTAATGTACTTAGGAATGTTTTTGTGAACTTCATAAGTTAAAAACTAATATTAAGCATTAGTTTATACTAATATTCCCAACCCATGCTAAAAATTCAAGAAGTAAATTAGTGTTTGCTGAAAACGAGGATGAAGATGCCTTTCAAGTTTTCCTCATACAAGTTCACAATCTGAACAGTCTGCATTATTTCTGATTTTTAATCCATAAGAAATACAAATACAATTAGATCCCCAGAAAAACACTGGGAGCTTAAAATTCAATTTACTGGCCTTTTTATAAATTCAGTGCAAGACTATGAGCAAGTCACCTGACTTTTAAAAAGCTTATATAGGTAAAATACAACTGCTGCTGACTTGTCTGCTTGAGGTACCTAAAGAGTTAAAATTAATGTAAAACATCTAATATAAGGTGCTACAGAAGTGCAAAGTATAAGTTGCAATAAAACATTTTTTTAAAAATAAACCCAGTGGGGGAAGAGTGATCATTTTTGTGTAGCAATTCAAAAAGATCGTAAAAGGAATAAAAGAGCAAATACTCTAATCTAGAATAAATAGCAACTGGGTTGTGAATGTGCTGTTGTTCTCACTATTCGTAACAGAGAAGTTTTGTGGCTTTTTTTTAACCTAATAAACCATGTTTGATCACCTGTATGTCTGGGTTTACCCTCCCTTCCCTTCTCAGAGCCAAAACTTACCAGTGGGAGTAGTGACCAGTTTAGTTGTCATGATAGTCCCATTACTGCTAACCACCATAATAGGTGAATTGCTACTGCTGGGCAAGGTCGCTGTAACTGGTTTGGGAAGAATTTTACTGGGCTGCACCTGTTGAGTGATTATTTTAACACCTAGGAAAGGAGAAAGGTCACTGTTAAAATACAGGCACAAAAAGTTACTTTCTGAAATGCTTTCTCAGACCAAGCCCTAGTAGGCAAGTAGCCTCACAAGGCTTCCATTCTGAGCTCATGTATTCTTGATCCTGAAAATATGATTTATTTTTTTTGTTTAGGTTGATTTTTTTGCTTGGCAGTTTGGTGTTTTTCTTGTTTTGCAAATAACAAGACAGTCATCATCTTTGCCTTTCCTGTGCCTGTTTCAATTCCTAGCTACTCCCACTGAGATATGGGGTTCTATTCCATCATTGATTTGTCGTAGTGATTTTTAAGCTTTTCTGGTCTGTGATATAAAAACCAAAACATTTCTCAGGAATGAACAGGTTACAACCAATACTGAATTGGTTCATATACAATGAACAATGTAAAAGTGAAACAGTTCATCAATTTAGTCTATAAATTCTAACGTGCCTTAATTAACCTAGTTGAATTTCATCCCACTGAATAAATTAAGAAAAGCCTCCTGCACAAAAAGTATCAGTGGGTGTAAGGAAGCAACCGTGGCACTGGCTAGGGAAGGCTGCCTTAAGTAAACTGCTCGCTCTCCTCTTGATTTATTGCTTATCTTGAGGGTAATTCCTCATGAAGGAATTGGCTGAAACAAGCTCTGAGTAGAATCAGCGAGAACAAAGGATGAGGACATCTCAGTATGGCAAAGATTCTGCTCCCTCTCTCTTGAATTGTGTAGTGGAATGGGACCTCTGTGAGATTCACTTCCCGAGTGCGGACCAGGGGATTCATGTCATCTGTTCAAAAATATATCCAGGACACTTGCATCTTATGTTCTGTTCCATGACAAGGTAAGGTATTGCACTGTGTTGGGCAAATGTCATGAAACACCCAGTCTGAATTAATCCCATCTGAATGCAGGTGCTCACACATTTCTCAGTGAACAATTTTGTCCATCTGAGACGCGAAACAAACTCCAGAGATGTTTTCTTCTTTCTACATTGACTACAAAAGCAGTATGGAGCAAGTAAGCTCCAAACTTAAGTAATGAAGTTAGGAAAGAGAAATTCAAGCCTTTGCATCATGCAGACACAAAACTGGGTAAAAAGCAAAGTCTCTGTGAAAACTGATTCACACTTCCAGAAAGAAGGTATCAGAGGGTATTTCCAAAGAAACTTTAACTAAAAAAGAACATTGAGCCTGCACCTAAGGTTGAAGGCAAGGAGTGAAGCTCTTACTGACCAAATGTTTTTCTGTAACTGCTGGATGGAGGCCTTTTATCTGTCTTCATTAGTGGGTATTTTTTCTCAGGCAATAGTCTTATAATACAAAAGGAAGTTTATCAAAGAGCAGCAGTAGGGCTGTTTATTTTTTCCTTCTATGATCTGTTTTAATTCTTTGATCTAAACAGTGTGAATATAAAATAATACTGACATGATTAATACAAAATACTTTGCAAAAATACTTTGCACTTTTATAGCACTTCTTCCTTTATAATTAGGTAACTTTGCAAGTATTACTTACTGCTTCTCACAGAGATAAGAACTGTACTCCACAGCAGAGTAAAGCCAACCTACAAAGATTACACAACTTGCCCAAAGTCAACTGAATGAATCAATGTTACAAAAAGAATCCAGTTCAGTTTCCAGCCTCAGATCTAATTGTATTTTTGTTTTAACAACTACCTCAAAAGTAGGTTTTGATTTCTAGATTCAAGAAAAGAATTAAAACACAGATTAACTTCTTTTTCCAGTTGATACAGTCGAACAGCTCTTGGATCTTCAGAAAACTTGTGTCTTCCAGGTTGGCAATCACATTACTTTTGAAGATATTTACATACCTTTCAATCTCTAAAGACAAAACATTTATTCCTAAAGCATGGTCTGTATACCTGAATCAAACAAGAATAGTGACAGAAGCAAATTCTCCAATTATGTTTAGTTGAAAGTGTTGACACCCATCAGTATCTACTTATATCCAGGTTCAATACCAAATCCTGTACTCAAGTAATTATGCCTTAATGATAGCTCCCCATGCGTATTTTGGGACAGAATTCTGCCCTGCTTTCTTGAGTTGTGGTTAAACCTCACTGATCAGCAATAAGACCCCAGATTAACTCCAACTACCTGATTCCTGTTTGATCTGAATGGTGGGCTTGATGCCAGGTGGCAATTGAGATTGCTGTGGCTGCTGTTGAGCTACAGAAGACTGCACCAACTGCTGCTGTTGCTGCTGCTGTTGTTGCTGCTGCTGTTGTTGGGCCTGTTGTATTTGGTGCAGCTGCTGTTTGGGGGACTGCTGATGCTGTTTGGGAAACTGTGTTAAGATCTGTGTCGGATTCCCAACCAAACCTTTTGGGGAAGGTAGTCTGGTAGAGGCCACTTTAATTGCAGATGTAGACACACCTGTGAAAAAGTAAATGGTTTAAGGTAGAATAGTGCAACATAAAAGAAAAATATTACAATTTCTTAAATACTTTTGCATTTAAACTGTCTTTGCATAGATATACATCTAGCAGAAGCACTCTGTTCAGAGTCAAGGCAGCTTTATACAGATTTTGAATGCAGCAGCAGAACAGCAGCTAACAGAAAAAACGTAATCCCAGTTTACTTCCTGCACCTTTTGTACTACAAATAATTTACAAGTATTTTCAAAGCCTGATCTTCAAGCTTCAAGAAAGCAAAATATTTATAAGGAAAATCATGACTACAAAAAGTTCAGATATGAAGATGACAAATGTCAAACACATCAACAGATTTGTTTGAAGGGAGTACCTGTCAGTGAGCACAATGTTATTTTAAAAGAATCACTCAAGTAATTTTAAAAACTGGAACATACATTTTTTTGTGTCAATAGGTGAGGTGATAAGTAATGAAGTGATTTTAAAAAGTTTGCAGTAAGAAAGGCAACATTCCCCAATAAACCTCAATACTTATTTACGTCATTCCCTTACACAGTTGTCACATTTCCAGCAGACTTTGGCTTCATCTGTAATTCTAAACTGCACATCCATAAGCACCAAAAAAGACAAAGTCATATGAAGGCAGTTTTCAACCAAGTCCCAGCTGTAGTGGAAAACAGAAAGAAAATCTCCTCTCTTATTTCTTTACGTTTACAGATTGTAGTGATAATGACAGAAATCACAATAGACCACAATTCTGGCAATCTAAATAAGCAACACTTTTCTCACTGCATCATCTAAGATGGTTTCTTGATTTCCCTGGTCAGCGGTTTTCATTCATTAATTTAACTTTCTTCACATTTGGAGTGATTATCAGTTTATGTCACAAAACATTTCACCAGCATCTCCTGCAATGACACCAATAGTCTTGGAAAAAACCTTAAAGAGACATTTCACCCAATATATTATAGAACTGTAGTCTCTTTCATTATCAAACCCAACTAGAATTCCACAGTTCAAACAATATGAAATGCTGCTGTAAGCCTTTGTGCTAGGTAAGTCAGTATCTTCAGAACTTAATTAATAGGAACAATATGGAAGGCAAAATACTTCCTCAACCTTGATTTGCTTGCCCAATTTTTTGTGGAATGGAACAAGACAGGATAATATGGACCAGGAAAAATTGCCATGTGACACTTGTCATTGTTGGGTACGGTATTTTTGAAGTGCTGGTCACTGAGGCCCTTTCATTCATCCACAGCTTCCCTTCCAAATGTTAGCTAGTGGCTGTGCAGCTGAATCAGTCAAGCTTGCACATATAGTTGGAAGCAGAAATCATAAGCCTAGGAATTTTAATCCAAGTTCATTTAGGTCTTAATCTTTAAGGACTTGAAAATGGACATGCTGATAAAATACACAGATAAAAAGGTATAAACACTTCTCTACCTTTCAGAAATGTCATGAAGATTAGTTATCAGGAGAAATATTCTAAGATTGGGCATACCGAGCATAGGTTGTACTTATCTCATGTTAACTGCATGTTTTGGAAGTCAGGCTTCAAGAGAAGGAATCTTCTTCAAATATTAAAAGCATCCATTTTCTATGTATCAGATAGAACTCTTAAAGCCAGCCATTTTGAGGCTAGAGTGTTTTAATGCTGCAAGTAACACTTTTTCAAAATAAAAAGCTATGCGACAATGTCTCACCACATTCTTTTTAAAAAGAAGATCTGCACAATAATGGTTGAAGTAAAGAGAGAAAGTGTCCACCAAGAACTTCTGTAGAGTATCTTGGATTAGTTTCATCAGTAGACATCTTTCACATCTCCTGTGCTTTACTCATCATGCATAAACATAATGCACATCCCCCTGTGCTATTCTCAAAACAAAGTCCAATTCATCAGCGAGAGAGCTTATTTATAAATATATAACTGCCATACCTTGTGCTACTGTTGACATAACCACTGACGGTGTTGATGACACTACAGCAGTCACAGCAATAGTACTGGCAGTACAGGAGGGAGTGGAACAGCTACTGGTGCTGCTGCTGCTGACCAGAGAGGACTGAGAAGCGGTTATAACCACTGGTTGCTTTTGAGTAGTTGAGGCAATAACTGATGTTGGGACAAGTTTTGTAACTGCTGCATAGTTGTGGGACTTTGAGAGGATGTTGGGTACAAAAGTTGAGCTTGGAGAGGTTGTTACTATTATCACCTGAAAGAAGAAAAAAAAACCATACAAGAAGAAATTCATTTGCTCTTTGCATTTATTTAAAAGCATAAAATTTCAGTAATATATCTGCCTATGTGTATTTAGTTTTAGGGATCCATGCTTATTAAGATCATTTACGAGTGTCATATTCACACTTAATGGCAACAAAAAATTTCAATTAGTTTGAAGAAGTGGTGATAAACATTTCCTTTTAAGGAAAGTAGAAGGGTTTGGGTTTTTTTGGTTGTTTTTTTTTTTTTTGAGGAAAACAATTACTAACTATTTAAAGCAGAATTATCTCATGTCTGAAGGCAAACAGACAGGAACGAACTGTTTGGCTTCATTAAACTGGGCCAGGAAGCCTGAATCCCATTTTAAGTGGAACTGAAGGGATTTCAAGCAAGTTTTACACACCATTCTCCCAAACCTTGCACATACATCAAGAAATGGCAATGGGAGCCTAGATGATGGTTTTTTTTCTCTTTAACAATTAAGAAGCAGTTGCTGAGTCAGTAATGGGAAATATTTTTGATCCACAAGGCTGTGAACAATCAATATCTCATCAGTGAAAAAACTGGTTTAGGTTAAAAACAATTTCTGCAGTAATTAGTGCTCTCAGTAACACAAAACTCTTATCTGTCTGAAAACCATTTGTCTAAAGACAATAAAAATTACCGCTAGTGTGAGTTACAATTACAACACCATGAATCTGATCTGACATAGAAAAACATCGAATTCATTACAAGACTGGAAGAGGTCTGTTCTTATGCAACTGACCTAGAAAACTAAGCTTTACTAAGTATTGAAGATGGGGACTGTTCATGTAAAGAGATCCCTTTTATTCTGCCTATACATACCTCCTTGTACTTAAAAACACAGTTAAAACAGAAACACACAGCACAGAAATAGAACATGTTTTCAGTTTATCATGCAAGATTATAAAGAAATTGTTTTAATAATGCAACTGTCCCAATAAAAATTTTATTTATTAAAACCTTAAAAATTAAAACTTATTAATGATTTGATGTAATAAAAGCAGATATAGAAAAAGGTACAGAAGGAGCAAATAAAACATAGGTCAGCTCAAATCAAATGTCTTGCACTACTACCCAAGGACAACTGAAACCTTGCCAGGTAAACAAAAAAATTAATATGATAATGGCACCAGAAATAGACTTAAGTGACAGATCAGGCAGTACGAGATTAAGAGTTTATTTTTTTTTCTTTTTCAAGGAGAGAAGAAAAAAAAAAGAACTAAATGGATGGAATAAAAGCAGCAAATTTCACCACCATGGCTGCCCCTGTCTCTCCTTTCCCCTCAGTGCTTAGTTTTATGGTCTCCTCAGCTTAGCTAAGTATCTTGAGCTGAGGAAAACCAAAATCCTTACTACCTCCATGAGCTACAGGAGGTTGACCATGACTGGCCATACCAGTGTTTCCACATCTGCTGCTCTACCACTTTACTGCATTCTCCAGGGAGAACATTTTCTCTGTGTCACTCTTATTTTTACCCTCTGCTCAACTTGATTCAATCAGAACACCCTTCTGAAATTGCTCTTCTGCTACAACCATGCAGACAAGCTGAACACAACACAGTCTGATTCTGGTACAAGGCTTGCACGTGGAAAGATCCTACGATGTGCCTCTGGAGTCTGATCTTATTTCTTGGTTGGCACTAGAACTATTTGACAAGTATTTGAATTTTAGGGCCAGTTCCATTCCACCTAGGACAACTAGGTTAGGAATACAGTCAAAGGACAACTTGCAGTTAAAAAGGTAGATTATTCACATTAAACTTCCTATATAATCCATAGTGCAACAGGGCAAGTCTCAACTAAGTAGGTATGGATATGGAGGATGAATCTGGGCATGATCATAACTTCTGAACACTGCTGTTCTTCATTCAAAGACCGATAAAAGCATCAGTTCAAGATTATCACTTAATAGCACTTTATTTAGTCATATAAGGAATAAAAAACAACTTGTAAAGCATTCTAGTTAGCTCAGCAATGATTTTTGCCCTGTGACTAAGCAGGTTTGGGTCTCTTTATTCAATTTCTTCCTTAAAAATTAACACAGCAGAACAAAGTTTAGTGATCTTAATGTATGAAGTATATCCAGAAAATGGAATTTTTGGGTAAAAATTTAAAAGCCTTAAAGCTCAAATGACAAATATTATATTATTTGAGATACTATTTTCTTATGTATGTTGAAATGACCAAAGCAATCTCATCACTGATACCAAAACTGCATCACATTTTTTACAGCAGAAAGACTGCCAGATTTTAACAAAAAAAAAAAAAGGCAGCAAGTTGCATTTTTGTTGCTGTTGATTTCAATTAAGTTAAAAAGTAGTTCTTAACACCCACTGAAATTAGTCCTGTCAGCTCTGTTTCGAAAAACATCAAAACCTAGTCCCTGAAGAAATAAAGGCATTAACTGCCAGCAGCCTCACTAGCTAGATTCCTTCTGTCCTCTAGACAGAGGACTTTATTCTAAGAGAATCCAGAAATTGAAGCTTTGACATTATTATTTGTCATTATTTGATAAATCTTCCTCCAACCTTCTAAAATGTCAAAACAATTCAGAAAGCTGGCATGCACAAACCAAGAATTTCATTCATATCCAATAACTTCACTCCCATCCAACCGCATTTGTTTAAAATAGTACGTTTCCCATTTGAGTCTCAGAAGTCTGACATTTAACTACTAAAAGGGATTTCTCTCATCAAAATGATCCAGTTACGTATTCTGGCATATCTAAATCCAATAAAAGAGGGCAGTGTGACAAGTTCAGATACAAACACTACTATGGCTCCCTAATGAAACAAGTGATGATTTTCCTACCACTGCAATTAGTAAGAGTCAAGTAACACTGTACAAAGCAAACCCTAAAATTTCCATGTCGGAACAAGCAGAGGCACAACTGCAGAGAAGACCCTATCAACAGTCCATTCTTTTCCTTTTAAAGACTTAATACACCCCATTGTTAACTACCATGATATATAACACTCATACTTAATACAACACTACAAACCTTTAAGGTGAAAAAATCTTCCTGCACAAAAGATGAGCCTAACAAGAGCAACAGGATGGGTAGGTTAAACCCTGTCCTGGCTGTGGATCTGCTGCACTGAATGCAGGACATTTTATTTGATAGTTTATGCTCACTCACAAATTTCTGTACATGTCTTCAGAGATGAAATCTGATTAAGGACACTGATAAAGCACTGAGAATCAAATGAAAACATCAAAGAGCTCTGAAGTGGGAAAAGGCCAAAAAGCAAGTTCTTTATCGCACATTACCTCAGTTAATCTTCCTTGGTTTTAAAGTTTCCAAAAATCAGGACATGGGAATTCTGCTAATCCAAGCAGAGTTACTAAACAATTAAGGTGACCAATAGAACAAATACTCTGTGAAGGTCTGAGCTCAACAGTCAAAGTTGGAAAAAAATGCTTGCTAGTGACCAGCCTACCATCAGTTGGTCAGTATCAAGGCCAAATTAATTCCACAGACCCACTCTAAGCCTGCCTTAATTAATAACCATACCAACAATGAACTTGGTCTGAGTCATTTATATTTTTTTATATCTGAAGAAAAAAAAAGTAGACACATCTGAAATGCTTCCTAAAGCATGGGAGAGTAGTCACGCCATTGATCAGGCACATAAAATCTGAGTCCAATACAAAGCTTCAATGTGGAAAACCTTTTACACACACTGCATTCTGGTGAAAGCTGGGCACACTCAGCCAAATTATTGCAACTGATTTTGACTATTATAACACTGTTAATGCAGAATGAGAAATGGCACACTAGTACTAAAAGGAAAATAAAACCCCACAGTCTTTGATCAGCTCCAAGAATAAGCTTTATAGACCCCAAAAAAGTAGTCTCTAGACAAAAGGCTTGGCAAGGGAAAGCCCATGCCGCCTCTCCTGGAATTCTACTACTGCAAAGAATAATTATAAATAAGGAAAATAGAAATAAGAAAGATTACCTTTGACCAATAGTTGTTACCATCTGAAGGATGTTCAGTGGCCTATGTGATCCAGTTCTCAGTGTACTAGTGTCCATATCACAAAACCCAACACCACAAATGGTACTAACTGGCAACCTTGTTGGCAGTCTCACCAGAGAGGCCAAGAATTGAATGAGCATGGAGACTGAATCCCCTCTCATCCCTAGAAGTGGTCCCTTCAGGTCAGGGTTGAGGCACATTGGTGGGGCAGTCTGGGGGAAGCTTGCACTCCCGCTGCCTGTGCTGTACCTGTTCTGTGGATAAAAAGAGGGCTTCAGTCTCCACAGCTGTCAATCCAGGTCCTTTCACACACAGGTGAACTAAATTCACACAAGAGTTTGGTTTCCTCTTTGCTCTTTTTAAAGAGGGATTACCTTATCCCAAGTGCAATCCTTACAAAACAGCTAGACAGTTCATAGAAAGGAAAAGTCAAACATCACGTCTTATTCATTGATAAAACCAGAACACAGCAACATTTGGCAGCTTCCCCCACATACCTTCTGTGTTGTCGTGTTTGTTGTCTGTGTGGAGGGCTTAGTGAAGGTTATTTTCACAGGCGACATGTGTGGTGGTAAGGAGTTGGCAATGCTCTGCATTATATTACTCATCTTGGGGCTGCCACTTACAGGCACTGTGATAGTTTTAGTGACAGGAGTCACTGCCTTCGGGACTTCTTTCAGGAGAACAGGGGAAGAACTAGAAGAATTTGTTCGCCGTCTTTTGCGGGGCTTTTCATCATCATCTGAGCAGCTGACACCTGGAAAAGAAGTACTTTTTCTAAATTATATTTTCCCCAACTGCAGCTCTCAGCGATTTCTAAAACACTACAACCTTGCTGAGTCTTATAACCACTTTCAAATAAAAGAAAAAAACGCAGAGGATAAATTACATCTTATGGTCACAACTAACCTGTATCACACCAGATGGTTTTAGTCCTCAATATAGACCACACAGTGCCATAAAGCGAAGAAACAAAACTCAACCCCCTCCAAGCTACTTAATTACTGGGTTACTTTATTCCATTTAAGATATTAAAAGAACCTAAGAGCCAGTGCAGGGTTTTCATAATGTCTCCAGAAGTTTTGACTAATGAGACTATGCACACAATGGGGCTGGGATAATGTCATGCACATGTCAGTTTAAAACTTTACACTACAATGTTGTTGCTGTTGCTGTTTTTTTCTACAGCAACTGCACTACTGAAGTCCATCCTCCTGTAGTCTTCTCCGATTTCAACCTCTGTACCTACTTCCATGCCATACTTACCATTACAGTATTCTTCTCCTTTACACCTCAACACAACATCTTGAGATGTAACTCTGAAGTCACTATGTAGGTTACTCTGATGTAACTATGAAGGTCAAACCTCACTTTATCAGCTTCTGCCATGTTTGATGCATTTTGTGCAGAAGATATAAAATGGCACCTAACACACACTTATGAAAAACAGAAGTCCGGCCTCAAAGGAGTTCACTCTTCCTCATGATCATCTCCTGCCCACATATGAAAAAAATCTGCTGCAATGTTCAGCTGAGCAAGAGATAACAGCATGATCAATAGATCTTAAATCCATATGGAACTTTCCAAAGTAGGTAATAAGCTCATAAATTGGTATACATTACTGAACGACACAGCTTAATAACCCTGAAAATCTCTTACAGCTACTGGGCAGAATTTGCATTTACCAAATTAGCCTGTGTTAGACAATTTTAAAAAAGAGATCAACCGAAAAGACGCAATCAATCTCCCCTGCGCAGAACAAGACTGCAGATCTTGTTCTGTACGCCTGGGGCTTAACGACAAAAAATGCTGTCACGGCAAAAAGCAGTCTCGCTGGTAACCCAAGCAAACTTGGTTGGCAGTCATTCTCTAATTAGGGTCAAGACGTAATTACCGTCAATCTCTAATTAAAATAACTAAATATTCTGGCATTCAAAAAGTGAAGACACAGGAATTAACATGGACAAGAAAGTGCCCAGTAGTACAGCAAGTAATTTCAGAAAAATGGGATTCTCTTGGTATGAGGACCAGCTCTTTTGCAGGTACACTTCAGAAGGCTGACAGATGTATCCACACAAAGATGGGAAACTGAACTAGAGAAGCAGAGGCTCCATTTTAAGTTTACTTTGAATTAAAAAAATAAAATAAAATAGTTTTAACTAGCTGTGGCAGCACAGATGAAGTGTGGATCTGCAAGTCCAGATTCCAAGGCTCTAATCAACAATTTACTTTAAAGCCCTGAACAAGCGTAGCAGTGATCACCATCTACAGAGCAGAGATCTGGTTACATGACTCTAAGTTATATTATTATTAACATGCTTTTAAGTATTACTGTGAGTCCACTGCACAAACTAGTAACTTGTAAGGTCACCAATCACATTGAAAATGTGCAGGAATATCAGAACCACAGACTCTATTTCAATCAAAACTCCGCATGCAGCTAGAATATCAGGACACAGTTGTTATTTTGGTGGGTCGCGAAGAAATACTGACCAGAAAGGTATTTATTTGTGGTCTTCATCCACAAAAAACCCCAAAAAACACAAAACAAACCACAACAAAGTAGTAAAAAAGTAAGATTAAACTAGCAGAACAATATTTTACGTTAAGTACAGCTCATTTCATCTCCTGTTTTCACTGCTGAGGTTCTGCAAGAACGCTATTCCTGTAATTTTATGTTAGAAATTGCATTTGCGCAAAGTTTTCCAGGAGCATTTAGCTCAACGGTAACACAGCTCAACTGTAATTCACACTTGACATGCAAGGAAGCAGAGGCACGGAGAGGTTAATGGCTCAATCAGACTGTGACGGGGATGAGGTCACACAACAGAGCAGCGGCAAAGTCACGACTATAACTCAGGCCTCCTGAGCCTGCTCTTAAGCAGTGTTGTCAAAACTAACATGAGTGATATAATATATTCCGAAAGACACGATACCCTAATAAAAAACAAACGACTAAAAACCCCAAAACCAAACCAACAACAAAAAAACAGAAAGAGGAAAAAAAAGAAAATTAAGCATGCAAAGTGGGGAAAAAATGAATTCTAGGGACAGATGGAATAAAAACGAGAACCTTTTCATCCCTCTGTCAGGTGTCCAGACTGGTTTTATACTCATTATCATGTAATAATTCAACAGAGGACTAAATTAAATTTTTAAGATGTTAAGAACATTTTTTTTCCCGAATCTTTAAACTAAAGCTGAGTGATTAGTGCATTACATCAGAAAAATGAAAAATCTTAATATAATGGGTTCTCTGGGTTGATACAACCACTACACTTGGTGGTTTGCAGGTAACATTATATTTATGTACAATGTGACATTTCTGATTAGCTAGAAGTTTATATAAAACATGCACATATAGCATAAAGATTAAAAAATTTTTTAGAATATTAAACATTTTAAGAACAAGCATCAAAATGGCACTCATCAACTTCACCATTAATCTTTATTTGTCACTTGCATTTTGACAGACACCAAATAAGGACAGAAGTAAGTATTTTTAATTATCATTTAAATAAAACTACCTCTGATGAGCTCGTCATATGAATGAGGACGTATTCTGCTTTCAGAACTAGCTGATTTATTAGCCAAAGAAAGAAGAAGGATGGAGGGAGACAAGGAAAAAAAAATAAGACTGTTTCCAGACGTTATGCCCTGGATTTCCAAATTTAAATACATGAAGATGGGTGTCTGGTGAGATTTTGTATTGAGCTTTAACAGTTGCCCAGGAATGCAAGCCTCACTAAGATTCACTTCCAAATAAATCACAAAATGGCCAGATATAGTTAATGTAAGCATAAAAATGCTTGCCAAACTACTGTATGCTAAGAAAGGTCTAAGCCAACTGTGAAAGTGGAAAGGAGAGACTTTTTCTTACTCAAGTGACTCCTACAGATTATTTGAGCAGAAAAAAAAGCAAAGTCCTCTGCAGAAGCAACCTGCAGAGGCACCCTAAATACAATCTCTGAACAAGCTGGATTAGAAATCCCCTGATATACAGCAATTCCTATATTTTGTTTTCAAAAAACTTTTCACTCCTCTTGTCCTTGCCATTACTGCTCCCTGCAGCATTTACAGTGAGTGGATTTATCCTGAGCACAATTTTTCTGAAAAAGGGAAGCAGTAAATTCATTCTTTAGACTAAACGAAGGCATAAAGGCATTAAACGACTTGTCCAAGGTCAGAGTGTTTATCTCAGTCCATGCTTCAGCCACAAGACTGTCCCTTTCTTTCCCTTTTGTTAATCAGTTGCTAGTATCACTTACTTTTGACGTAAACAGTACTTCCACTTGGCAAGACGACTACATTGGAGGCTGGACTGGCAGGTCTGGGGGACTTCACTGTTGCTACACTGCCACTTGGAACAGGGGTAGATGTTGGGGTTGAAGTGGTACTTGTGTAGGAATAGCAAACCACCACTGAAGAGGAGAAAAGACACCTTCCATATAACTGAAGTGCAGAATCCCATTATTCTATCACTATTTTAATAACCAAAATGGAAGCCAAAGACTTATCGGGCCATTATCCACATCTTTGCCTCTGCAATCCTGTTACTGCTGAATACTCCCCAGTTTGACCTACGCATGGCCATGGAATTAACAACCTTCAAAGACAACATAGAAATCTAACCTCCCCTCCTCCCATCCCAGAAAAAGCTGTGCTGCCAATTGGAGAATTTTTATTTGCATTAATCTGATGTTTTACTTTATAATTTGTTATATGTCATGTTAGCGTTAATTCAGTATTTTGATCTTTTTGCTTTTCTGTAAATGACCATATCTAGACTGGTAACTGATAGAAAGTAGCTAGTGCCTCACCTCAACAGTACATCAGTCGAAGAAAGCAAAACATTCCTTCAGTAAAGAACAAAATATTCCTTCAGTAATGAACAACTGATTTTTTTAAACCATTGCTTGTAACTAATAGTACAATGATCTAGTATTTCTCACAAAACCAGAATAAAACAGTCTATATCAAGAAGCGTTACACATTCTCTAGTTGCATGAAGCATAATTTGAGCACATTCAGCCAAGTTAGAGGGAATGTGTACTTCCATTACTTAAAAGGCATAGGGAAAGCAGAAAGCAATTTTTTAACTCATAACTTGGTACATTTAATCTGAAGTAAAAAAACAAAAAACAAAAAAACACACCACCAAAAAAAACCCCATAATCACAAAATCTACTTGCATTCTTAAAATAAAGTGTTCTGAAACACCTTTTGCCACTTACAGAACTTCACAAAATCTTAAGCCATTGGTCCAAGTTTTTATAGATTACAGAGCTTAACAAATTAACCAGTGAATTTCCCCCTCATTTCTTGGCAATTTGTTTTGATATTGGTTTGGGGTTTGTTTTTTTTATATCAGTTGCTCAGTTGTTAGTGTGCCCACCAACACAAATCTGTAAGATTTATGCTGCAGATGCTGCAAAGGCATCTCTAAAAAGAAAACAAAATTTTTCATATTTCTATGAATGCAGTGCAAGAAGAATGATTCAGATTTTTTAAAAATATCTAACACTTAAAATCAAAGACAACAATTTAGATTGTAACATTATTTTTATATTCTCATATACTGCAGTAGAATCACAGCTGTGTCTCACCTTCCTTGTTTCCAGTTTCTGCAGGGACTGGAAGAGATGCGTTGTGCTGAACAGCTGCATTGGCAACAGCATTAGCAGTAACAGTAAAAGCTGTTTGTGGAACAAGCCGTGGCATCAGTGGCACCAGTCGACGACCTT